GACTACGACTGCGAGAACAGCAGAATTCTACAACTGGATTTTCATCTGAATCTTAAGGGGAACGCTTTCAGATATGCTTCTACACATCGCTGTTAGGTTGCTTTGCCGGGATAATTTTTTCAGGTTCCGTGCCCCTCCCACTGCTCCAGGGAGGCCCCGCCAGAGCGAGGAGGGTATCGGCACACCATGTTATTTGTCAGGTTTCGTGCTTCTCCCACTGCTCCAGGGAGGCCCCGCCAGAGCGAGAAGGGTATCGGCGCACCATATTATTTATCAGGTTTCGTGCCCCTCCCATATCAGGTTTCGGGCCCCTCCCACTGCTCCAGGGAGGCCCCGCCAGAGCGAGGAGGGTATCGGCACACCATATTATTTATCAGGTTTTGTGCCCCGGCCACCCCTCCAGGGAGGCCCCGCCAGAGCGAGGAGGGTACCGGCACACCATCTTATTATCAGAGCGAGGAGGGCCGCAGCCGCGGCCTGCCCGAGGGGTGAGATACTGCTCCAGAGTGACGACCACGAGGGGTGAGATGCTGCTCAGAGGGGCGGCCCGCTCCTGCAATCGTTTGATCTCGATATTCCGTAAAGTTCCCAGCTGTGAGTACGCGTGAAAACACCGGCGCCGAATGACATCGACACCATCCTCATCGTCAGCCATCGCCATCATCACCACTTCTTTCTTCCACGCCTTCTTCTCCTTCCTCCCCGCCTATCGGCATTCTTGCTCTTGCTCGCCCGAACTGCCCATTCTGCACTACTGAGGTTCACGCTGCCGAGCGCGGCCTTCGATTGCCGTCATTCGCCCGCGCTGTCTCGCCCCATCCTCCCCCTCCCCCTCCTGCTCCTCCTCGCCCACCTCCTTCATGTCCTCCTCCTCCTCCTCCTCCTCCTCCTCCGCATGCCACGCACGGAGCGCCCGGGCACGACGGCCGCAAGGTCAGCGGACAGACCGCGACGCGGCACCATGGTTGACCCTTCTTCTACCCCCAACCACCCCATCCAGAAACGATGTTCTTGGGAGCTAGTGAGGAAAGGAGGGCGACAGTCTAGGTGACAATGTGAGCGACAGGAGTGCGCTGGGAGACCCCCGGGTGCGTGACAGACTCTTCGAATACCTCGCGAGGCAATCCTTGACACCTTCGTGCGAGGCACGCGGGGAAAGAGGGCCATAACGAAAACGCCCACGAGGAGGAAAAGGGGAGAGGAACAGGAGGAGGAGAGGGAGGAGGACAAAAAGGACAAAGAGAAGGAAAAGGAGGAAAACGAGGAAGACGAGGAGATGGCGGAGGACGAGGAGGAGAACGAGGAAGAGGATGAGGAAAAGGAGGAGGAGGAGGGCGAGGAGGAGGAGGAGGAGGAGGAGGAGGAGGAAAAGGAGGAGGAGGAGGAGGAGGAGGAGGAGGAGGAGGAGAGTGAGGAGGATAGGGGAGAAGCACGAGGACGAAAAGGAGACATAGGAGAAGGAGGAGGGTGATAGAAAAGGATGGAAAAGGGGTGAGGGCAGGTCGGCCATTTCATGACAAAATGCCCCTTGATCCCGATCGCCCCGTAACATCATTATGTGGGGAAATCCGTTCGCATAATTGTATATATATATATATATATATACACGCTAGATATCTGCTATCTGTACGTATGCTTATACTTTTGCGCATGTACACAGACAACCTCCAATGGATGGTTCCTGGCCCTGAGGGGAGGATGGCGGTGCATATATTACCGTTGAGAGCCAGCGACTTTATACATCCTTATCCACTGCCACCCTCCCCGAATCAGCCGGCGAAGCCGCCGAGGGGCGGAGGGCATGTCAGACGAGGAGTTTGGGGATCTGCCCCGCCCGTTGCTGAGCCTGGAGGGTTTCTCCGAAGGGCTTAGGCGACCCGTCCTCCTCCTCCTCCTCCTCCTCCTCCTCCTCCTCCTCCTCCTCCTCCTCCTCCTCCCTCCATCTCCTCCTCCTCCATCTCCTCCTCCGTCTCCCCCTCCTCCACCTCCTCCTCCTCCTCGTCCTCCTCGTCCTCCTCCTCCTCCTCGTCCTCCTTCTCCTCCTCATCCTCCTCCTCCTCCTCCTCCTCCTCCTCGGGTCGCCGTGGCCTGTTGCGCTATGTAGTGATGCAAATAAATCGCCGATTCCGGCGGAGTGAGACACAAATCAGGCCTGGCTGGCGCAGCAGGAAAGGTCGGGCAACGAAAACAGGCAAAGTAGGTGGGCCCACAGGGGCGCAGAGTATGTGCCAGCCAGGCGGTGTGAGAGGAGGAACGACCGAACGAGCCAATGCTGAGTAACCTTGACGAGGGGAGGCACTGAACGAGGGAGAGATGAAATACGCGTGCAAGCAAGCAGGGATCCAGCGTTGCGAAGTATGGCTGCAGGCTGTGTGCTGACTACGGCATTCAGTTGGCCTTGTAGAGCTGTCAGGTCGAATGCATCTCCAGACCCAACCCTCCCGAAACATTCGACCTCTCACATCCCCTAGATTGATGCTATCGCCTGCCGAAAACTGGGCGATGAGTCGCAAAACAAACAGATAACAGCACAGGTGACCTCAGGGTTAAGTCGGGCGTGTCCTTCTACAGGACGAATATTCAAACATAGTTAAAAATAGCCAGGGGACGATTTTTATATTTTACTTGTTCTATTAGTTTCTATGTGCCATCCCAATGCCGCTTGTAGGGGAACGTGCCCGACCTAACCTCAGGGGCAAGTGTGAGGTAAGCATGCTTAGGCCGGCTCCTGTAGGTTGGCCTGCTAGGAGTTGGATCTAGAGTCCAGTTGCGCGAAAGCAGAAAGGAGGGTCAGAGTTGCAATTGCAAAGGTCATCCCCCCGACCACTACCCTATCCTCCACGTGCTCACCGCCCAGTCCCTCAAGCAGAACAGAAGCGAAAGTAGCCGAGGCTGGGCGGGTCGCGGATTTACAGGAACATCAACAGAGCAGGCGACTGCAGTGGTGAGGATAATCTTAGACTGGCTCCTGTTGGCTGGCCTGTGGTGCGAGGTATCTTGGCATGTGTAAAGGAAGCAGGGTTGAGTGGAGCGTAGGATAAGCTTGTGTCGGGAGACCACAGTGGGATTGTATTGTTCTCCTCCTCCTCCTCCTCCGCCTCCTCCTCCTTCTCCTCCTCGTCCTCGACGCTGGGCTCCTCCTGCTCCTCCTCCTCCTCCTCCTCCTCCTCCTCGTCCTCCTCAGTCGGTCCGAAAAAAGAAGGATGATCGTCATGATGGCACCCAAGCGCCTTAAAAGCGAGATAGAGGTGGGGCAGTACATCGGGTGGGGTGCGCTCCTCCTCCCCCTCCTCCTCCACCTTTCTCACGAGCTGGGCCCGTGGACCCGTACCCTCCCCAGCATTGGGTCATGATTGGGGCCCACCATTTGCTTTGCCGACGGGAGCCCCTACGTGAGCCCAACGGAGAGTCTGTGCTACGGTCGGGCCGAGGTACAAGATCGAGGTCGGTTCCGGGAGGGTGCCCTAGTGTTCTTCGTGTTTGTTGGACGTTCTTGTGCATCCTGGGGGGGGACCCTTGGATGTCCTGTGAGTTTTGGCCGACGGATGGTCAAATGATCTTGAGGAAGGTTTTTCTGGCCTAGGCACGACTCTGGGGGGAGGGGGGGGCCTGGCCAGGCGTGCCGGTGGTGCACAGGAGGAGGAGGAGGAGGAGGAGGAGGAGGAAGGAGAGAGGAGGAGGAGGAGGAGGAGGAGGGACGAGGAGGAGGAGGAGGAGGAGGATGGGGACGGAGGAGAGGGGGAGGAGGAGGAAGAGGAGGGGGTGGAGGAGTAGGAGAAGGAGGAGGAAGGGGAGGGGATTAGGGCGGAGGAGGAGGAGGAGGAGGGACATCCGGACTCCCCGAGCGAGGAGGGGGAGGGAGGGCGAGGGGAGGGGGCGGGGGGGGGGAGGGGGGGGGGGGGGGGGGGGGGGGGGTGGGGGGGGGGGGGGGGGGGGAGGGGGGGGGGTGGGTGGGGGGGGGGGGGGGGGTGGGGGGGGGGGGGGGGGGGGGGGGGGGGGGGGGGGGGGGGAGGGGGGGGGGAGGACGAGGAGGGACAGTATGCGCGCTGGGGTCCCACGGCGGCTCGCGGCGGCCAGCGCCGCGCTTGGAGGCGCCGTTCGGGCTGCGGTGCGCTTTGGGCCGCTGGGTTAACCGCGGGCGCCGCGCCTTCGCCCCCACATCCCTCTGCGAAACTTAACGCAAGGTTTTCCCGCGCCGCGTCGGCACCCCCAGACACCCAAACTCCTCTTTGGATGACGAAGCACGCGATCTGATTTTTTCCGTCGGCGTCAGCGGACCGCGCCGCGCGCGCAACCGAACATTGAAATTGGAGGCGCGTGTGTGTGTGTGTGTGTGTGTGTGTGTGTGTGTGTGTGGAAAACTTGCGTTAAGTCGTAAGTTTCGCGGAGGGTTGCAGGATGCGCCAGCGGCGGTTCCCTCGCCGTTTGGCTCGAGGGTCCTTGGATAAAGGGCCGTCGGCGCATCATCCATGGTATCTTCGGGCATCGTACACTCCCACTCCTTGTTCTAGGGCGCAGCAGCACCCATTCATGATGTGCCGCAGCAGGTTTCTCGCGGCGGCAGTTCTCGTGTTCGTCCAGAGCGCCCAAGCTGCAGCGTGGTCCAAGGATAAATGGGTGGAGGCATTCGGGAGCAAGACGGGCTTCAGAAAGGCTAACCCTGCCTGGTTACAGGGGGTCTCCACAGAAGGGGACGGCTACTGCAACGTGGCTGCTGATTATGGATGCGTCGTCGGCGTTGGCGAGGGCATTTGCTATATCCTTGTGAACCCGGGCGACTACGCGGTTCCGCTGAGCAGCACCGACTCCGGGTATAAGGTCCACTTCTCTGGGTCCGCCAGGTTCGGGCTGGAGTTGAGGAAAAAGGAGGGCCTGACCAAACCAAACAGGAGGGGGGTACCGAGGCCTAATTAGTGTGCCTTTTCAAACCGGAGTCTTTAACCCAACGAAGATAAGACAGTCT